TGCTGAACCATGGGGCCAGCCCTCCACAAACTTTCGGAAGTCTCTTTGTGCTTAAAGCTAACTTGGATGCCCCACTCACCCTGTGCCGTAGACTTCACATGTCTTCGGTTCTCATAACGACTCTACGAGGTAGGTACTATTATAACCCTCACTTCACAGATTTTTTCCTCGAAGACCACAGCATAAGGCAGACTGCCCTAGGTTGGCCAGCTGGTAAACAGCAGAGCTGGGATTTGAACCCAAGATGTCTGAGACCCCAGCTCATGCTATGAACTACTTGATGAGCTTCTCAATGATATCACTGATCCTTCCCAACAACCTCACGCCCAAGAGGAGAGCAAGGTTTTATGTCTCCTTTTCAGAGGAGAAAACAGAGGGCAGGGAGGTTCAGTAACATTTTCAAAGCTGGGTTGGTGTCTGACGCCAGGACTAGGGACCCCTTACCCCTGCACTCTGAGATGGGCCACTTTGGGCAGATCACATAACCTTTCCATAGATTCATCTGGAAACGGGGGTCACCCAGTCTGCCCTGGGAGGTCGTTGTGAGGGTGAAATGGGATAATAAGCCTGAAGAGACTGGCCCTGGCAGGGCAGGCCCACTCATGGCCATGAATGGGGTCTGACAAAATGGTGAACACAAGTTTAGTGTTCCTAAACCCACCTCTCCTTCTCCTCCCACAGAGTACCCCTCCCTCTAATTAATCAATTAATTTAACACATTTGCAGAAGGCATGAGCACTCGCTGTAGAGAGACAGCCGAGGAGAGAGAGGAGAGTGCACCCTCCGCGGGACAGTCACCCTGCAATCCTCTATCCAGTTTTCAGGATTTGGGGCATGCACGCACACACGACTGGCCTTTCTTTCAAGAGATTTTTACCATAGGGTGCATGTGCTCACCAGGGAGACAGAGAGACTGAAAGTGAGACATTATCCCCTGGGGTATGGTCACAATCCTCCTCCATTCTCCTCTTGGAATCTTGGGATGCACGTACACGCACCCGGCATGAGCTTTAAGCCACCAGAGCCAGGACTAAAACCACAGTCATCTACGTGGGAGTCCCGGGACATAAACACCATCTGCTGGTCCCAATGCCTGGCATTTCTTGAGCCGCTGGGTGTGGGACTCAGATCACATGGTCAGTTATGTAGGATCCAGCTGCCTTAACGCCCCCCCCCCTCAAATTTAACAAGTCAGCATCCAAATCGCTCTTCAAGAGGGCAGAGCTTAACCCAGAGGGACGCTGCTCCAGGGGAAGCCTCTAGGCCGCCTAGAGCAGATCTTTCTCTTTTTGTCTTGTACAGGTTGATTGTCATGTATTTTATACCCCATAACAAGCACCTGTTTAAAGCATACACCCCCGCCTAGAGCAGATCTTTCTCTTTTTGTCTTTAATTCTTGTACAGGTTGATTGACATGTATTTTATACCCCATAACGTGCACCTGTTTAAAGCATACACCTGCGGGTTTGGGTGTACTTGCGGAGTTGTACAACCGTCACCACGATCTAATTTTAGAAGATTTTCAACAGCACCCAAGGAAACCTCGGCATCAGCAGGCGTTTGGAGTCTGCGAGGAGTAGCCTGAGGGGGAAGCTGCTCACAGGTGAGTGGGTTTGGAGGCAGCCAGGAGCCATGGAGTGTGCTGGAACTATCCTCACACCTGACCCAGACCGCTGCCTTTTCTCCACCACTGTGGAGAGGTCCCCACGGCACAATCTGCTCCACTCTCCAACATTTTTTTTTTTTTTAAATAAAATTTTTGCTATAGGATGCATGTGCTTGCCAGAGAGAGACAGAGAGGGAGGGGGAAAGTGAGAAAACACCCGCCTGGGAGGATGGCCATATTGCAACCCCTTCTCCACTCTGTTCTTGGGATTTGGGGCACACACGCACATGAACCCAGCATCAGTTCAAGCTGTTGGGTCTGGGACTTGAACTGCATAGTCAGCCACATGGGATCCAGTACCTTAACCTGCATGCCACTTGCTGTACTTGTCCAATCTTGGGTCTGAGAAATAGCTGCATTGGTTTATAGAGAGCAGGGCCTGGGCTGCCTCTGTGTTTGGGAAGTGAAGGGTAAGTGTAGGAAGGGGTTAGCTGTCTCCAAAGGGAGTGATGGGAGCACGTGGAGGAGGACAGGGTTGTACCCCCAGATTACCAGTCCCTCCCCTCCCCCACCACTCCTCCTCAGCAACCAGAGATATGATTGGATGGTGTCTTTCTCCCAAAGGCTTCCCTTGTTTTTTGGAACAAGATTCAGATTCTTTAACAGGCTGGTCTCCCAACCTCATCCCCTTATTCTCTTCTTTCAAGTCTCACAAGCTGTTTTCTCTCCCATTCCAGGACTCTACTAGCCTCTGGTCACTAGAAAAAGGTGCACCCTCTTTGTGGACAAATTAGAGAAAGGATTTTGTTCCATCAACCTGCTGCTCTTTTGCAGTGCATGGCCTGTGCAACCCAATGCAGAAACCCTGCCCTAAACATGCCAAGCCCCCAAATAGATGAGACTGACACTAGGAGGAAGGACACAGGCTCTGAGGACAGAAAGGAGGGGCCTTCCAGCTGCACCACCTGCCAGCTGTGTGATCTGGGAAGAGCAAATCACCTCAAATGATTGAACAATTCCCACTCTGGGGGATGGAGAGCACTGTGAAGATTCCGTGAGATCATTCAGGTACCGTGCTGAACTCTGAGTGTTGGATCAATGGCCCTCCCAGTCTTATGTGATCCTAGAGCCTCTACCTCCATTTAATACACTGGATGTTAGCAAAAATTGGTGCGTTTTTTTCTCTAGCAATAAAACAAATCCCCCTTATCTTCTTCTCCTCACTACAAGTGCTTCTTTCCATTTTTACTGTGACCAACCTGGTTGCAGTCTGAATAACAAGATTTCTAACTTGTGCTCACCTCCTTCCACTTTTGCCCTTGGGACGCTTCCAGAAGTTAAAACTACACCTAGTCACGGGGCCATTCCCACTGTCTGCCTTGAGCCCTTCTGGTTGCTTAACCTGCTGGTCTCAGACCAAATGTCAACAGATAAGAGAGACTTTCCAGGACTGTTCAATGTGACGTGCAAGGCTGTAGGAGCCTACCCAGTGGCTTGGTGTCACCAGACACCTCGTGTCTCATGGTAGGAAATGGCCCAGATTCCTCAAAGAAGCTTATTACAAAGGGCATTCCAGGCTGGTGATCTGGTCAGATCATGACCCCAGGACCCGTGATGGGGAAGTGCTAATTGCTCCCAAGGATGTGTTTGAAACTGAAAACCCCAATGGCCTTTGTCCCCTGGCCCCGTGTTCTGCTTTGGGCACGATGACAGGGCAGGAAAGCACAGATCAGTGGCACTATTACTGTGGAGTTGCAGCATGGGACAGGAAATGCAGGCTGTGGATGATGACTATTCAACAGCAATACCATGTGGTAGTGACAGGAGAAACAGTATCAGTGACTGACGCCTACATGAGAGGACTATGGCTGTGCAGGACCGCTGTTCAACAGTGACACCGTGTGGTAGTGGCAGGGACAACATCCCGGCAGACTAACCACCCTCTAGATCCCTCTGCTCAACATTAGTAAACAAAACTCACTCTCTCTGGGATGAAACCAAACCAAACAAAGACCACCCAAGGACACTCGGAACAGTGAAACTTTCTGCTGACGTAGACCGGAAGGGGTTCAAGAGATTAATTATAGAAATAAAAGAAGCAATTGTATGGGTGTTGAAAACTGGCACTGCAGGCCGTACTGGTTACAGACAATGAATGAATAAGTGAACGACCATGACACAAGAAACCATGCCAGCACACTGAATACACGGGAAAGACAGGGTATTTTAGTCAAGCACAACGGAAATATCATGGTTATAACCAGGAAGCAATTCCCAGAGGACGCGTCTATGTAGCTTTGAAAGATGCTCATCATCCCCACAACAACAATGCACATTTTCCCCACGAACAAGGTTCCGGTGTTTAGGTCATTTCTGAATCTGAGTTCAGAGAGTCTGCAAGGGGCTATAGGCGAAGATCTAGAGAAGATTCCTCGGAGAAAGGTGTCCTGTGCCCACAGCCCAACAGGAACAGGTGCTGACGACCTCTCTCCCCTGACGGGGCAGACAGTCCCCAGAGCTCCCGAGGCTTCAGTCATAGTGAACGTCTGCACCTAACAGCAGGAAGTTCTGGGAAGAGATGGGAATGCTGTCATCAACTGGAAATGGTGAGTGTGGGGGCTGCTGCATTTTTAAGAAGGACACTTTGGGAGCCAGCCCATCAGGAAGGCAAGGGTAGAGTGAGACCTGTCTGCTCACGGAGATGCAGGGGCCAGTAGGGCTGCTCGGGGTCTGGCTGCTGGGTCTGCGCATCCCAGCTGCCGATGCCCGGCGTCTGCCAGCAGGCCTCTGCCAGCTGTTGCCTTCTCAGCTGTGGAAACCCCTGGGCTGCCGTGGAGGCCTTCATTTGTCATCGCTGCCTTGTGCCCGCTCTAGGGAGCCCTCGTTCTGATCAAGGCTGCAAAACCGCATCCTTTTGCTCCTTTGTGCCCTTCACTCAGAATTTTTAGAAACGAAGAAATTAAAATTGTGCCATGGGGTCATTTTTTTTTAAAAGGATGAACTTGGTAAAATGTGGGGTACAGGAAGAGTGGGTTCCTGCTGCTCTCTAGGCTTTCTTTATCTTTTTTGTCATTTGCTATAAGATGTGTGAGCTCACTAAAAAGAGACAGAGAGAGAAAAAGATGGAAATCACTCCCTGGGGGGAATGGGCACACCACAATCCCTTCTTTGTTCTCTTTTTAGGATTTTGGGCAGGCACACAGACATGCCCTGTGTGTTTCTCTTTTTCTTTCTTTCTTTCTTTCTTTCTCTCTTTCTTTCTTTCTTTCTTTTTTTTTTTTTTTTGAACGTTTTTGCCATTGGGTATGTGTGCTGGACAGAGAAAGTTAAGAGAGAAATGGTGAAAGGGAAAGTGAGAAATCACAGCCCCCAAGATGGGGCGGCTATGTCACAATCCCTTCTCCTCCATTCTCCCCTGGGATTTGGGGCATATATATATATATATATATACACACACACATGCCTAATGTGATTTTCAAGTCATTGGGTCTGGGACTCGAACCATGGTTGGCCACATGAGAGTCCAGTGCTGCAACCACAATGCCACCTGCTGGTTCCCTCCAGTGTGTTTTTCAAGTCCTGGATCCAGGACTTGAACTGCAGTCAGCCTTGTGGGATTCAGCCACCTTAGCCTCCACACTGCGGCCACCTCAGCTATTTTTTATGCAGTCTCTCAACTTCATTATCTCACCAGTCTAAAGCACTGGAGACTGGTTGGTCCCAGAGACAAGAGGATTCTGGATGACATGGGAGTTTCCCAGGAGGGCCACACGTTATCAGAAAAGCCACTGAGGCAGCGAGGCTAGCACGCCGGGCTGGTTTTGTTGTAAGATAACAGCTTTGTTGGGACATGCTGGGCTGGAGGGGCTCTAGGGGAAGCTGGTGCTGAAAAGCCAGGGTGTGCTCAAGTCAGGAGTTTAGAAAAACGAGGAGGGTGGGAGCGTAGAGGGGTATGGCAGTTAATCCTGAGGGAGTTGATGAGAGCAACCAGGAAGAGCCAGCTCTGGTAGAAAAGAAGAGGCTGGGGTTGGGAGGGGTGGGGAGGAATCCTGGAGCTCTCCAGCTTGTAAGGAAGGACAGGGGAATAAGCAGAGATTGCACCTGCCCAGCGAGAGAGGCGAGCGGAAACCCTGGGGCCAAGGGAGAAGGCAGGCAAGAGCAGGAGGAACGTCACACAGGGGAGGGAGCCTCTGCTCTGCTCTGGAGTCTGCCAGACGCTGGCACACACCTCCCAGTGCCTAGCAAGGTGCTGGATGCCAAAGAAGACATACGTATATTCAGGTAATGACTTCCTTCCCCGCCGCCCCGCTGCCAAGCTGCTGGGGCCAGGATTCATATATGCAGTCAGCCATGTGGGATCCAGCCCCCTTAACCTACAGGCTGTGGGGCTGACCCTGGGAGTTCCTTTTTTTTTTTTTCCTTAGAGAAAGAGTTTTGCTATAGAGTGCATGCATTTGCTGGAGGGACAGAGAGAGACAGAGACAAAAAGCAAGAAATCACCCTCCTCCCAGGGAGGATGGCCACACTGCAAACCCTTCCCCTCCAATCTCCTCTTGGGATCTTGGGCATGTATGCACATGTGCCCGGTGTGAGTTTTAAGCTGCTGGACCTGGGACTCGAACCATGGTCGGCTAGGTGGGAGTCCAGCAATGCAACCATTAGACCATCAGGTCTATATATTTTTTTTTAACCAAGTGTTATGTAAGAACGCCACAGTGATGGTTGAAAGCAGGAGCCAGGCTTTGACTCTTTGTTTAACACACTGTGGCTTTTCTGTGGTGTTTCTGCTCCGTGTATTAACAGTGCTGCTCCCCAGGGCTGTTGTAAGGGTAGAAAGCACCTGATACGGGGCTTGCCAGAGCAGAAGTGCTGTGGCAATAGGTTACTATTGTTAGGGGAGCTGTGGTGAAAAGGGACGTTGGCGACTCACCTTGTGAGACTGTACCATCAGGTTGGAGAGCTGGACCCTGGCAGGCAGCGGGAGTGGGAAGCCTCTCTGCATCCTCTCTGTGATGGACACCAATGATGAGGACCAGGGGAGGAGAGAGTGCAGGGCAGGGGAGGGGAAGGTGAAAGAGCCAGGGTGGGCAGCTCCCTGCACCCTGTGCCAGCCCTGGGAAGGCTGCCCTGGAGTCTGCACCTCCCACCCTGTTCTCCACCACAGGCCCTGCACAGGCCTCTTCCCTGACACAGCGTTGCTGAGGGCCGCTCAGGGGCAGCTGAGGTACGGATGGAGCACGTGTGCATCAAGCCCCTCCGGGCCCAGAATGAAGCCAGAGGCAGGGGCCAGCTCCCACTGCACTGCCACATTCTGATATAGAACTCTGCAGAATTCTGAGTTCTTCTTCTTCTTCTTCTTCTTCTTCTTCTTCTTCTTCTTCTTCTTCTTCTTCTTCTTCTTCTCTTTGGGGGATGAGGTGGGGAGGTTTTTGCTATAGGGCACGTGTGCTCGCCAGAAAGACAGAGACAGAGAGACAGAAAGCGAGAAATCACCCCACAAGGGGGGATGGCCACACCGCAATCCCTTCTCCTCCATTCTCCTCTCAGGATCTTGGGCATGCATGCACACATGCCTGGAGTGAGTTTAAGCCACTGGGTCTGGGACTCTAACCGTGGTCGACTATATGGGAGTCCAGCGACAAAGCCATGCCAACTGCTGGTCCCCTACCTAAGTTCTTCTTCTTCTTTTTTTTTTTTTTTTTTTTTTTTTTTTTTTTTTTTTTTTTTTTTTGGGTGTTTTTTTTTTTTACTGTAGGGCGCGTGCGCTCGCCAGACAGACAGAGAGAGACATAGAGACAGAAAGCGAGAAATCACCCCCCAGGGGGGATGGTCATGCCGCAATCCCTTCTCCTCCATTCTCCTCTCAGGATCTTGGGCATGCACGCACACGTGCCCGGTGTGAGTTTTAAGCCATCGGGTCCGGCACACGAACCGCGGTCGACTACGTGGGAATCCAGCGACATAGCCATTACGCTAACTGCTGGTTCCAAGTTCTTCTTTTTTTAAAAATTTGCCAGAGGACATGTACACTCACCAGAACGAGAGAGAGGGAGAAGGGAAAAAGCATAGCCCAGTAGGCATGGTCGTGCCACAATCCCTTCTTCTCCACCTGTCCATCCTGTTGAGACTTTGGGCAAGCGTGCATACATGCCTGGTGTGTTTTTCAAGCCATGGGGCTGGGATTCAAACTGCTCTGTCAGCCATGTGGGATCTTGCCCTTGGACCCACCAGGCCACGGGGCTGGCCTGAATCCCAAGCTCCTACCTCATCTCTGAGGTCAGGTTGTCATCCTCTTACCTTGAAACAGGTGGGAGGATAATCCCTGCTACATTTAATAATGTGCTGGCTTAATTGATCATTTCTAAACATGTAGTCGCATCACGTGAATCCCTGTGTGGGCTCTTGCCCTCAGCTCACGAAGACTGGGGCGGGCCTGCGCGAAGCTCTCACAGCGTGGGGTTGGTAAACTCTTGGTCAAGGTCAGCGGGAGGCGCTCTCTGGCCCTCCTTCCAGAGTTGGAAAAAGGCTCTGGCTTCAGAGCTGGGATCACGCCCAAGTGTCACCTCTCCCCTGCTCTGTGCCTGAAGTCACTTCACCATTCGGGTCTTCCAGTTCCTCCCAGGAAAATTAAGGACGTTAGTTATCCCCCACCCATGGGCCGTTGTAAGAACTGGATGATGTAATGGAGGCACGAGTAGCAACTCAACCCACCTGAGTTCCCGTCATCCCATCTTCTTTCGAGGTTAGATGCAGTCTGAGGCAACCACGCCCAGCCCTCACCACTAGGCAGGCATGATACGCCTCATGGTAGTCAACCCCACCTTCTTCCCCGAGGATTGAAAGCCAGGACTTTCTCAGGGCTCCTTACCGTTAACCCTGGGCAGCACGATGGTGGGAAGGATGAAGTTCATGACATTCTTCAGCACTTTCACCTGGAGATCAGGAGAATGGGATCAGCCATCCTGTCAGCCTCCCTCCCACCCAGGCCACTGGGCAACCTCAAAGCTGGGAAAGCCACTGGGGTGGACACCGTGGTGATGTGCAAGTTGGGCGTGGGTCAAGGCCATCTGTGTGCTTTCTTTTGCTCTAAAGGTTCTGAATATAAAGTGCATTCCGAATTGTGAGGTGCAAGGTCTTACACTCTATGCCAATGAGGAAAGTCATCAGAGAGTATTTAAATGTGCAAGATTTTGCTTCCAAAAAAATGCATTCTCAGACCGACTCTGACCCTCACTGCGGTTTAAATCTGGCCCTGGTAGCTTGAAAAACATGCCATGTGTATGTGTGTGTGAGTGTGTATGTGTGTGCAGACACATGTGCACATGTGCGTGTATGATTGCCCCAAATCCTGGCAGGATGGAAAAGTGGAGAAGAGATTGGGGTGTGATCAAGCCCCATGGCAGTGCTTCCTTCCTGCCCGTGTTTCTCCAGCTCTCTCCTGTGAGTGCACATGGCCATGGCAACTTAGAAAAAACACATCTTCTCAGACACTTCAGGCTAGATGGCAAGCTGAATCAACCTTTTGGAGGGCTAGTTGGAAATGTTCATTGAAAGCCTTTAAAAGGTGTGTGGTTGGGGCCAGGAGGCGGTGTAGTAGTTAAAGCAACTGGATCCCACGTGGCTGGTAGCATGGGTTTGAGTCCTTCACTTGGCAACTTGAAAAAAACATATTGTGTGTGTGTGTGTGTGTGTGTGCACGCGCGCATGCAGGTGCATTTGCCCAAAATCCCAAGAGAAGATAGGAGGAGAAGGGATTGAGGCATGGTCATCCCATGCTGGGGTGGGGGTGGTGAGGGTGGGTAATCTCTCACTTTTCCTCTTTCTCTCTCTGTCTTTGTCTCTAGTGAACACACACGCCTGACAGCAACTTTTATTTATTTATTTTTTAGAGAGAGATTTTTGCTAGTGGGCTTGTGCATTCTCTGGAAAGACAGAGAGAGATGGAGAGACAGAAAGTGAGAAATCACCCACCCCCCCACCCCCCCCAGGGGGGATGACCATGCCACAATCCCTTCTCCTCCATTCTCTTGGGATTTTGGACCTGCACGCACACAAGCCCAGCATGAATTTTAAGCCACTGGCTGGGTCCAGGACTTCAACTGCTGTCGACTATGTGGGATACCAGCGACATAACCATTACGCCATCTGCTGGTCCTGTGAATTTTTTTAAAAATAAAAATAAATAAAAAGATGTGTGTCTTGTAGGCAAGCGAGGATGACTCCAAGGCATTTAGTCCAAGAAATGATGCAGAGTGTAGGCAAAAGCTTAGAAGCAAGGTTGCTCAATAAAGTGATCAATTTAATCAAAACAATAAATTAAAAGCTACCTGCATGTCCAATAATAGAGGAACTACTGGGGGGAAATGGCAATACTTTGATACTGGGAAATATTATGCAACTGTTAAGAATGATATAGTAGAAAAGTAATTACCCTCATAAAGATATCCATGATCTATGTTAGGGTCAGGGAAAGCAGGCTACAGAATCCATATCATTCCTGATTTTAAAATTAAATAGGCATAGCAAAACGCCAAGGAGAATATACTCTAAATTATTAACTAAGTGGCAAAAATATAAATGGTCCTTTTTTTTCTTTGATTTGCATCTCTGTAGGTTCCTGTAGGTTATGATTGCTCTGCAGTGCACTTGTTCTTGCCTTGGCAATCATTTTAAAAATTAAAAATAATGTAAAACCCTCAAGACGATTGCTTGTAATGATGACATTTACAACTTATATGGATGTACGTTTTTGTTTCTGGAACAACTGCGCTTCCTGAGTTCTAATTCCCTGAGCTCACCAATCGTGATGCCTGTCTTTCCATCTCTCCTGGGAACTGTATATTTTTATTTTCTGCAAAAGCAGAAATTAGTTACCGACTTGGTCAAGTCACCGACAGAGCCTTGACACCAACACATCCATGCAAACACAGCGAGGCGGCTCGTGCCCTGTTTGTCGTAACCTCATTAGACAGAAGTGGCTGGATTTTCACTGCATCTGGAGGGGGTGTTGGGGCAGTAAGACTTCAGGGCTTACCTGGCACCCACTTGGTGGGGAACTGGAGGGGCATCTCAGAGAGGTAAGGGAAGCTCTCCAGAGCGGTGGGGATGGGCTGGGCCCGGAGACTCAGTCCACGTGCAGTAAGACCCTGACAGAACCCACGCGGCGTGGCCTGGTGTAAGACACGGCAATGCTCTGAATGGTGGGTGCTGAAGAGCATGCTTTTGGGCCGCTTCATTCATAGGAAACTCACGGCCATGCCCTGGGTAAGGGCAGCAGGGCAAACCTCTCTGATGGCCAGTGGCTCCAGGCAGAACCAGCTCCTTAGGCTGGGGGATGCCGGTTTCTCCCCACGCCTGCTGCTTCTTCATCTCCATAAAGGATTTCTGCCATCGACCCAGATGCTCAAACCCCAAATCTGGACACCCTGTTCACTGTCCTTTCCCTCTCACCACATTCTACCTTCAAAATATGTGTCTGATCCACCATCTTTCTCCTTCTTCCTGGCTGAGTCCCAGCCACCCCAGCACCGTGGGTGCCAGCCTGCCCACCTGGCCTGACTCTCCTACTCTCTCACCCATGGCTCACGTCCCAGTCAGGGAGGTCTTTTCTGCAGGTGTAAATCAGCATGTCACTCATCACCTTCATGCACAATCTGTCCTCCTCCTCTTCCTAGGCCAGATGGCCCCGGGTGAGCCAGCCCCTGTCTGCCTCCCCAGCCACATCTCCTCCCGCCCCTGCTTGCTCTGCTCCAGCCACACTGGCTTCTTCCATTCCCCGGACATACGAGCTTGCTCCTACCACAGGGCCTTTGCACCTGTGGCTCCCTCTGCTGGCCCCTTCTCATCCATCAGTCCAAGTATCACCTCCTCAGAGAGGCCTTCCCCGATCACACCCTTTTACCCTTAATTCTCCCTATCACTTTCTACCCCATGCCCTTTAGGTTTTTTTTTTTTTTTTTTGGAGAGGTTTTCGCTATAGGGCGCGTGCACTCGCCAGACAGAGAGACATAGAGACAGAAAGCGAGAAATCACCCCCCAGGGGGGATGGTCACGCCGCAATCCCTTCTCCTCCATTCTCCTCTCGGGATCCTGGGCACGCACGCACACACGCCCGGTGTGAGTTTTAAGCCACCGGGTCCGGGACGCGAACCACGGTCGACTACGTGGGAGTCCAGTGACACAGCCGTTACGGCAACTGCTGGTTCCCGCCCTTTAGTTTTTTATAGTTTCGTTCCTGATGGAAGTGGTCTCCATTTCTCACTGTCTCTCCTGAGTGATGTCTGGCTCTGAGAAGTTATTAGTCCTGTCATTTTGTCAGCATACTCCCCACACCTAGAACAAGACCTGCACGTAATAGGTGCTCAATAAAGCAACCAGCCTGTTGATTAAACGAACATTTGCTGAGCAGGTTTTCTGTGAATTTTGCTCATTTCATCCCATTTCAACCTCACCACATGAACCTGGGGGTGGGAAGAAAGCTTCAAGTTTTGAGAAGAGAAACAACTTGCCCAAGGCCCTATCGTGAGCAGACAGGGAGCTGGGAGGCCCACTCAGGTCTCTGCCTACAAAGCCCTTTGCGCCATTAATTCACAAGCAAATTTTATGCAGGAGGCCCACACAGGTCTCTGCCTACAAAGCCCTTTGCACCATTAATTCACAAGCAAATTTTATGCAGATGAACCAGTGACCTCCCAAATAATGCCAGGAACCTGTGACCTGTCCCCATAAATCAGGGGAAGGAAGGAGCCACCATGGGCTTCAGACTCACCGAGAAGGGGCCCACGCCCGAGTGCTTCAGTGCCAGGGTCAGCCTGTGAAGGGGAGAGGAGAAACTGTGACCCCCCAGCTCCCTGGCCTGAGTTGTGTGGAAACACAGTTGATGGGAAGGAGGGGCCCCCTCTGGGGGACACCATTTTACTTTCCCACCCAGGATCATTCCCTTTCCTCTGGTCACGGCTCCCTGACTGTTCTCTGGGGAGGTCACCCGGCCCCATATGGTTATGCTCTGGGGAGTGTGGGCCAAAGGGCACCATCTGCATCCCTGCCCCATGATTGCCTGTGACCCCTGCTGGCCCAAGGAGAGTTGGTCCCAGGATTTGGTTACGAATATTGGGAATGAGCTGTTCTCTTATTTCCAGGAAAATAGGAGGTGACTGGTGACTGTCGTGCCACTAGTTAGTGACAGCCTGCCAGAGAGGAAGCTGGTACAATAGACAGCAGGGCCAAGCGATGGAAAGAATCCGATTCCCAGGACCTCATCTGAGCACCTGGGTCCACTCTTGCCTGAAAGCCTTACACTTCTTTGTTATCTGAGCCAATAAACGATCCCCCTTGCATGGCCTTTACAAAGATATTTTAACAGTGATCTCAAGGAAAGAGGGAGATTACATGGCTACTTACAGACCAATGCACTGTGTGGGGGGTTTTATCCCATTGAGTTAGAGGGAGGGATCACCATACTCCCATTTTACAGATGAGGAAATTGACATTCAGAGAGGTCAAGCTGCCTGCCCAAGATCACACAGCTACCAGTTAGCAAAGCAGGATTTCAAACAGGCCTCTCTAGAGCCAAAGTCCTTATTGGCTCCGACACTGGACAAAGCTGGAAACTTGGTCTTCAGCAGCCCCAGGACGCCTGCTCTGTGGATTCGCATCCCCTTACCTGCCGCCCCACCCGGCCCCATCTCTTACACAGTTGAGAAGGTCTGCTAGGCTGACACCCAGCTGGATCACCTCCGGCTCCTCTACTCGAGAGGCCCATGGGTGCTTCAGGGAAAATTAGACCCACATGTTCTGAAGCACACGTCAGAGTGATGCTGGAGACATGAACAGTGTGTAAGCCCCAGAGGCCGACCTCAAGGTGGAGAACAGCTCTGTGCCAGAGACCGTGGGCCTGCGGGGATGTGGGTCAACACTCGATGTAAGCAGCGTGGACGTGACGAAAAGGCAACCCCGGGTCTCAGTGTGGAGGTCATCACATCTGCTCTGTCTCTCGTCTCTCCCCTCCTCCTTCTTTCCTCATTGCTCTGGCTTCCTCTCTCTCTCTTTTTAAGACAGATTTTTTTTTTTTTTTTTTGCTATAGGGCATGTGTGCTCACTGGAGAGACAATGGGGGGAAAAAGCAAAACATACAGAAAACAAGAAATGGGAGATCATTTGCTAAGAATAACATATTTGTTGATGTGCTTGATTGAGACAATATACAGTGTACTCTAGATGGAAAATCTCATTTTGTATGTTGTAATGATGTACAGTGAATGAATGCAAATAAATGAATTATTAAAAAAAGTTATTATCTTTTTTAGAACTATTTAATATTATTTATAAGTTTTAAAATTTTTAAATTTATTTCAATTTCTTTTATACATTTAGTCACATTATTTCGCTTGCAAAGTGAATATTCCAACATATGCCCATTTCTCACCAATCCAGTAGAGAATATTATACATGTTATTTTCAACAGATAGTAACCCATTTCTTTGTCTCATAAATGCCTTGACTCTATTTTTCTCCTTAATATCCTTCCCGTTTATTGTCTCCCTGCTGTGTCCTAAGCCCCCAGCACATGCACACCTCATTTAATGCTCACAGTGAGGTTATTGGCACAGAAGCCTTACTGGGCTTGCTTCATAGTCAGGCAAGCTGAGTCTGGAGTGTTCTGTGCACGCCCAGGAGAGCACACTCCCAAAGCAGGCAGCCTCATCCCGGAGTTGCCCTCCTAACCTCAGCCTCCAGGCGTAGGGTTCAATCCCGGGGCACATGCACTCCAGGGTCTCCCCGAAGTGGTGGTTGTTGAAGTCCAAGGATGGGGCAAAAGAAGTTGAAGTAGGATTTCCAAGTGCTAAGGAAGGCCAGGAACATGGGGTGCTGGACACTGGGGTTCAGTGTCCAGTGGCTCCCAGCTCTTCCTGGCCGAGTCAGCTGGGCCTGACAGTGTCCTGGGACAAAGGACTTGCAGTGCTAATGCAGGAATCGTTTTGGGCAAACTGGGATGGTTGGTCACCCTATGATGTCTGACCTTGGGCTTCATCTCTGAGTGTCAGTTTCATCGTCTGCAAAGAGGGGATGCTGTGTCCATCATGCTTGGTCCATTGTGAGGCTTCCTAGGAGAGCTGGTCCCTCCTGTCCCCATGGCCCCCTTACCTGCCCAGCTCCCAGGGCCCCTTACCTGCCCAGTCCACGGCCCCTTACCTGCCCAGCTGGAGCTCTCCCACAAGCCTGCCAGATGTGGCGTTGACCTCCACAATAACATTCGTGCTCTGGAAAGCAACAAGCCTGGGGTGACGTGCCCGACTGAGGGGCCCAGGGCTCTGCAGGCCTCTGGGACAGGGGGAAGTGTCGGCCCCACAGAGTAGTCCACACGCGGTCAGGCCCACAAAGACTGAGGAGCAGGGAGATCTCCTTTTGCTCAAGGGGTCCTGGAAGGTCCCCTATTTTCCACTTGCTCCTTCTGCTTTAGGGAGGACTGTGTGAGATAGACCTTGGGCTGGAGTCAGGCCAGCCCTATTCTCTCCACCAATCATTTGTTGATTCACTCAAAAAATATTCATTGAGGGAGAAAGCTAAGCTTCCCTCCTGGCTTTCCTGTGCAGTCTGTGTGATCCTGGGTAACCCCACAGGACCCACTATTTCTGCAAAGTGGGGACAATGAGTCTCAGCGTGAGACCGGACAGAGCTGTGTAAGCCCGCCCGGGGGGGTGGCAGTCTGGGCATTTTCAGAGGAGGCGCCAGCATGCACAGCTGTCACCTGGTGTTTGTGGAGTGACGGGGTAATACAACCAACCCATGCACGGATTGACAACGGAATGAAGAGTTACAGACATGGAGGAGTAAACGATATGAACAAATCATGAACCAGCAAGTGTACAAATGAATGATCAGTTGAACACGAGTGTACATAAATGAATAAATGAACAACCGAGTGAATGCATGCGGGAACTGGAGAAGGTAGAGCCGATTTCAAGTCAACAATGTGACGGATAACTGAGTGAGTGAATGAACACATGTATTACTGAATAAATAAAGATATGAGTGACTAATGCGGAAATAGTACACAGGTTTCACGCCAATGACAGGACGAAAAATGGACTGAATGAAAAGCTGAGTGAATGAGTAATTGGATGAGTAGAGATGTGCAGATGAATGGCTGGACGAGTGGGTGCCTGCAGGAACCGAAGCAGTTGCGTGTAGGACTCTGATCTCGGTCTCTGCAGCCACCCTGTCTGGGTTTGAACCTTGGCAGGATTTACACCTGGTCTCCTGACTCCAAGAATAATGCTCTTGCCCATGCCTGGGGCTTCCCTTCTGCCTGTATCCGGGGACAGCTTACCATGTTGAGTACGAAGAGGGAGGCCAAGGAGGAGTTGGGGAGGACGGCGAAGGCCTGGGCCTCCAGGACAGGGTTGAAGGTCAGACCGATGGGGTGCATGGACAGGTGTGGCGGGGAGGACATTGAGATGAGAAGCTGCACCTTCATGTCAGGGTACATTCTGGCCACCTGCAGCCCCCAGCGAGGACAACCAACAAAAGAGGAAATTTCATCAAAATGTTTCTAAACCCTACCTTGCCCTGACCCTGCACAAGCATCGCCAATGTCTTCCCGCTGCGCATGGAGGAGACGGCGCTGCCTGGCCCTGGCACCCTTCCAGCCTCACTTCACACCTCCCCACCTCCACCTCTGGCCACCCAAGTCTTTCTGTTCCTCACACACAAGCTCTCTTGCCATCCCAAACCCTTTGCACTCTCTGTTCCATCTCGCTGCATGCTTGTCCACCATTCTTCCCTAGCTTAGTTCTTTCTCTCCCTCGGGTCTCAGCTCCAACGTCACCTCCTCAGAGAATAGTGGTGGCTTCAAGGGGGACCTAAAACCTTGCAGACTCCTCCTCCCCATCTCTGCTAACCTCTGATTCTCCCCCAGGTGTACTGAACCTGAGTGAAAATCATAGACTGCTGGTCAAGTGTGACTTCGATACAACAGCCCTGGGCATCCCTACCATTCCTGGCCCCAGTGGTACTCTCCTGGACAGAAAGTTCTGGAGTGCCCTCACCAGAGAGGTTGCTATAGGGCATGTGTGCTCACTGGAGAGACAGAGAGACAGAAAGCAAGAAATCATCTCCCAGGGGGGATGGCCATGCCACAATCCCTTCCCCTCCATTCTCCTCTCGGGATCTTGAGCACATACGCACTCACACCCAGTGTGAGTTTTAAGTCACTGGGTCCAGGCCTCGAACCACAGTCAACTACATGGGAATCCAGCGACATAACCATTATGCCATATGCTGGTCCCCTGACTTCCTCTGAATGTGCCTCCCCCGTCTCTCATTCTGTATCTCTTTCTCTGTCTTTCCCCTTCCATCCCCCTGTGTCTCTCTGAATTT